TCTGAGTGATGGTGGAACATACGGTGACACTTGGGGTTGCGGGTCTGGTTGGGGGAGTGAGTGGTTGGGGGTGGTCCCCAGCTGTCCCCAAGTGCTACTGTCTGCTCCACCATCACTCGGACAGCCGTGCTGTGTTGCGCGCCACGCAGTGTGCACTTACAAAAGCGCTGCGATGACAACAGCCACAGCAGCGTACGAAGGCATAGCACAAGCAATCCACGCACGCCCTGCACTTGCGGATACGCTTCCGTTTTGGGTCCCCGTCGTACACGCTGCTTCGGCACCTCGCCAACTTGCATGGCCGCTGACCGGAGACAAGGCCGCCCAGTTGGGCCACGGTGATGTGGCATCATGGTGTCAAGTTCCACAAGCCCACGTTGTCCAAGACGGCGTACTCGATCAGGTCATGCGAGCAGCTGTCCAAGCCTTGGGATGTACAACCCCAGACACCTGCGCCATCGTCTTCTCACACTTGACGATCGATGTCGCAGGCGGCGACGTCAAGGCGTACGAGCCGCCAAGCAGACCGCCCGATGGGGCATTTGGCGCATTAGTCATTTTGCCGCCGTCCGACGCGGTTGGAGGCTTGTTTTCGACACAAGGGGACTCGCCACTCGAGTGGGCAGCGCCAGCCCACACGGCATCGTACCTCGCTTTCGAGAGCTGGAGTCACGTGTCGGTCGGTCCCATTCGCGCCGGGTTGCGCACCGCGATTGTCTACCACTTGGTCGATCGTTCATGTAACAACGGATGGTCGCCGCGCACTCTCGCCGTGGCCGGTGCCCTCCGCTCGGCCGCCATGCGACCGCAGCCTACGCCGTACACTGCGTGGCGCCTCAACGACTGGTCAGAGAGTGCTGGGTCCATTTCGGTCGTTCTTGCGCAGCAACAAGGCGCCGAGCGTTTGGCAGTGGACGCGCTCGTCGCCGCGGACTGCTTCGACGTCGTGTTCCTCCATGCAGCACACGGGCTTGTCGGCTCGTGCGTACATCCCGCCTTGGAAGTGCCCCGCCTCGTCACCCAAGAGTTCGCCTACAACATTGAGGACCGCATCTATGTGGACGAGCCGCTTCGCTCGCCTCGCGAAACTTTGTCGCTCTGGGTCGTCTTTTGGCCCAAGCGCCAGCGCGTCCGCATCATTAACTGGACGTATACGCTGGCCAACCTCTTGGCATTGCACCGTGGCAAAGGCGACCTCTGGGGTTATGCGTCCATTGACGAGATGTTTCAAAACATGATGGAGATGATCTGCGCGACCGACCATCAGCTGCGTTTGGAGCAAATCAATCCCACGGCGCTGGGAGACGTCCTCTTGACCATCGGTGACGTCGGGCGCGCCACCACGTTTGTCACCGCGTGCGTTTGCCGGAGCGCGTTCCTTCTGGATGCCAATGTGGCGGCGTGGACACTCCGCGCTGTAGCGCGCTTTGGCTGGACCGACATGGCGTCGTCCCTTTCTACCTTGGCGATCGCCGTGCTCCAGCAGTCGCCGGAGCTTGCGTTCGAATGGCTGCGGCGCCTTGTCGACGACCACCGAGACCACACCCACGCCACGGTTGCGTACATCCAGCAGTCGTTTTGCGTATTTCTGACGTGGCTCCGCGACGGTGCCACAGCGAGCAACACGTTGGTCGTGAACGCCTTGTCCGTGGATGCCTTTCTTGGCGCCAACGCCCCCTTTGTTCCACTCGACGACCTGGCGTTGGTAGCGCGCTTGCCAAGCACCTTGCTTGGGCTCGTCCATGAGTTTGCAGCGCCGCCGCGTGCGCTAAACGTCCTTCTGGCCCGTATGGAGAAACTCCCGAACGACGCTCACCTCGTGTGCTTGCTCGCGCGCGCCGTCCTCGATCAACCGGGTGCATCGCAGCGCGTCAACATGCAGCGCGTCCTCGCCGCGTACCACCAGCTTCCAGAGTCGACAGCACCTCATCTCTCGGACGCCTCTGGCTATATTGTCGAGGTTGCGCACCGACTCGGCGCGGTTGACGGCATTCTCGATCGGCTGCAGGAGCACTATGGTGCGGCGTGGCTGCCGGCGATGGCGCGCCTCGTGGACGACCCGCATTTCGCCGGGAACAAGCAGCACCTCGCGTCCGTAGTGGAGCTCTTGCTACCAACCGCGTTTAACGACGAGTACGAGTGCCACGTCAATACGGAGGCGTCGGCGGTGCGATGCACCCAAGCCGCTGCGATTGCTCGTCTGTGCGATTTTCTCGGGGCCAACCATCTTTTGGCGCAGGCCGTGGACGAGTTGATCGAGCGCATGAACGATGTGTTCGACGTCGACAACATCACTCCCATCGCGCTCCACTTTTACGAGCACGTGGCGACCCAACCCGAAGCGCGACCGCTCGGCGAGCGCTGCCTCGCACGGGTGCAGACATGGACAAACGACCAAGCCATCCTCGATCTCGTTGTGCCCGTGGAAACACTGAGCGACTGCGACTGCAACGACTGTGGAGCGCTCGTTTCCTTTTTGCGCGACGGAACGCAATCGTACCTCGAAGTGCCAGCGCGTGCAGTGGGTTGCACGGGCCGAGGATGGCTAGAATCCGAGCGACGTCTCACTTCGACTCGCTTTTCGGTGCATACCAATAAGAACTCGGACGTTCTTCGCGTCATCAAGTTCGATCACTATGAGCTCCAAGCGCGTGCAACGGTGCAGTTCTTGCGCGCGTCGCTTGCATAGCAATGAATAGAGTAACTTTGCACCCACGCTGGTCATGTGTTCTTAATTTGCATTGATGTTTCCCACTACAGCACAAGAAAGAAGCATGTGATCGACTAGCTCCAACGCGATTCATGAGAAGTAGATGGTGGCGCATCGAACGACGTGAGCCGTGTGGTTGTGCGTGTGCTTGCGTCTCCTCTGCGTCGCTGTCATGGTCGAGGTCGTTCCCGGTCACAGCATATTTGGTCCGGATGAAACATGAGCTGGCAGACTGGTTACCACTGCTGAATACCCCACGCGGGTATCCGGTCCGTCGGCAGCCAAGAGACCCGTGGCGGCGGTGGCCGAGCTCCACCGATGAACGCGAGGTGAGGCGACAAAAGAAGCGCATAGTCGAAGCCGATGAGGCCACGC